AACATTCAAATATTCATAGGAAGCTGTGAACCTTCCATCATACAAACAGATGGCCTTTTACAATTGTACAATATTTTAGACAAAGTATTTAAAAGAACTTTGCATTTCAAAGCTAATAAACCTATTCACAATTGCATCTTCTAAGGCAAGAATGACTAAAAGAACATATGCAGAACATATGCTTGGATGCTGCCGTAACAAAATTACGTCTCCCCTCTAATTCAACAAATATAAATATTTACAAGCCTTTTAAATGACTCTTTCCACCTGAATCTGGACTAAAACGTGTAAATATAAAAAGGTTCATTTCCATTATAAAGGATTATTAAACAATACAGACTCAACAGCTTACACAAACACCACAAAAATCACAGAATACAAAAATTTCTTGGGAGGAAATAAACTTAAAACTATGAAAAAAAATTTAAAAAGGTATCTATCATTCAAAGGGCTAACTTATTTAGAAATAAACAATTTTGATAATTATAATAATAATATTGATAGAAATGATAGTCATGATAACGATGATGATGATAATAATAATGATAACGAAAAAAAAAAAAATGATACCAAAGATAATATTGAAGAATGATAATGGTAGATCTCTAAAATAAATTTTCTTATTTTGATAACATTTCTCTCTCTTTTTTTTTTTACCTATAACAACTTTCCACTTTCTGCTAATATTTCCTTTTCTCAATGTTCTAATCATATTTTCTTCTCCCTTTCTTTTGACTTTTATAATTTCCAAATTATCGTACTTATACATGGACAAACAATCAATGAGAAATTGGTTAATTACACCAGTAGTTCAAATCATAAATTAAATCAATGCATTTATAAATAAATCTAGATTATTGGTTCTTGGAGAGACAAAACAAAAATGACAAAAAGGAAGAGATGTATGGATAAACATGCTCCCATCACCATCCATAAAAGGAACAATAAAAAGGCCTTAATTAACAAGAAAGAAAAAAAGAAAGAAAGAAAAAATAATAAGAAGAATGTGAAAGTCAAGACAAGACATGAGGAACTTGGTCAGTGACAATCTACAATAAAGTAAAGCAACTGCATTCAGCTGATATATTTTTTTTTTTCAAAGCATCTTTGTACCAACAAATACTGTATGAGATTTAAGATGAACCTTTTCGAACTATACCAGAAAGAAATGAGCCTAATTATAATGAAGACTTTTTTGAGTAGTTGCTACACCCTGGAAATACTAAGGAAGCAGTCAAGTGAAAAGGTATCTGCAATAATTGTGTTTTCTTGCAATTCCTTTGGTTGTTTTGTTAACAACTAAATAATAAATAATAAAAGGGCTGAAGCTTAGTTCTTCAATACATTACTCAATAACATTTATTACTCCTGTTTGTCTCTACAATTTCTGAAGGCAAAGATCTTTTCTGCATATAGCTTGGATGATGTGCTATCACAGTTCACAGACCAAGACATACTCTTAACAGAGAGATTATTAGAACAGTATAAACGATGAAAAGTTGAAAACTCTCCCCATGCTAGAAGAGTAGATTGATTTACCATATTTTTAATACAAAAATTAAAACTTACTTTCTACAGCTTCTACATGTTTTAAAACTCATTAGACTCCAAGATTTAGCAGTGTACAATAAAATGACAGTTTCATATTACCTGAAACTTTAACATCACCAGTGTCTGCAATATTTGGCATGTTTCCCTACCAACTTCTTTCATATTTCAAGGCACAAGGCAGTTGCAAGTGCATGTAGCCTCTGAGCTACATAATCTAATTACCGTACTCTGTTTTCTAAAACTCCCACACAAGAAGAGAACAAATCCAAACACAAATTCAAATGAAAATCAACTATCCTCACCTTCATTAAAAGAAAGGAATAAGTGTTTCTACTGAATCATCACTGAGCAACTGCTTGGTGATGCTGAGGAAAATGATTGTCAAATGATAAACGCAGGGGGTTGAAAAACAGCATTGCTACAGGCTGACATACTCTAAGACAGTGGTTCTTAACCTTTTAACTACCATGCCCCCTTTAGGAATTTGTCCTTCCCTCCACGCCTCCCTTGCATCTATAAATAAAACTCCCTCCCAGATTTTAAAGAAAGTATGTTTTGTTCATCTTTTTAATGAGGATGAATTAGTGGCATTATAATTAAACTTTCCATTATGTGACCATGTTCTCATTTAGAGAATAACAAACATAATTATAGAAATTGCTGCCTTTTTTCTCCAAGGGCTTGTGTCCCCTTTGGAATATACTGAAGCCCCCTTAGGGGGGTGTGCTCCCCAAGTTAAGAACCACTGCTCTAAGAGATCTAAATTACTGAATGTGAGCTTTTTGTCATGGTAAACTGAAACACAAAGAGCTAGGTCATGAACTATATATTCCTTTCCTGAAGTAACTATGGTCTTCCTTGGCAACAGGGAAATATGCAGTAAGAAGGCCCAACATACTATAACATACAGTAGCATCTACACACAACAGTTGTTACAATGCACAAACTTGAGCACAATATAGCTTCAATAATATCTCTCCTCTTCTGGAATTAAACCACCATCAATCAACCATTTATATCACCGAGTCAAGAAAGGTACTGGCTGCTATACCAACAACAGTCATGCTGGGCACAATAGAAATAAAGAAAAGGTCCAACAGAGATGAAAATTATAGATATAACTCTCCATATATTCCTTTCATTGCCAGGTTTCTAATTACACTTTCTGATACTATTTTACAAAAAAAAATTGCATTATATATCAAACCCAGCAACATAATATCAACGAATAATTCCATACTTAATTAAAAGCAATGATAAGTAAATCTGAAGCACCTGTCATGGTTACAGTCTTCAAATAGTTATAATTTGTTTGATTTGCTCCTTCTCAATAATTATTGCTTTGCCTATCTTTATTTACAATAGCAATGTCAGTCTTTTGACACAGATAAATCATTACCATTTTTCATAGTGATTAACAAATAAATAAACAAAAAAGGAGAAAGACAAAATCAGGTATAAAAAACAACAACTAAATACTCCCACAAAAAACGACCAAGTTAACCAACTTGTCCCGTCACAAAGAACCACAGCACTCTAAACAAACGTGATGTTAACAAGAGCTTTCGAACCAGCAATCTCTGAGTCCTTCCTTTAATTTCTTGACAGCAAAACATTACAGCTTTCTTCACAAAAAGCAACACATTATTTCCTTTCACAAAGTCTCAAAAGGCACTTCAGCAAAGGATGAGAAAGACTCCTGTTTCTTCTCATCCCTTTTTTGTGTTTTACAATTTTCTGAAACTACACTCAGATTTGTTTTTTGTTTTCCTTCTTATCCCTTTTTGTCTATCTCTTTTAGCTTTTTTTAAACCATCAACCTATTCCTTCTTATCCCTTTTTGTCTATCTCTTTTAGCTTTTTTTAAACCATCAACCTATTCTTTCTTATCCCTTTTTGTCTATCTCTTTTAGCTTTTTTTAAACCATCAACCTATTCCTTCTTATCCCTTTTTGTCTATCTCTTTTAGCTTTTTTTAAACCATCAACCTATTCCTTCTTATCCCTTTTTGTCTATCTCTTTTAGCTTTTTTTAAACCATCAACCTATTCTTTCTTATCCCTTTTTGTCTATCTCTTTTAGCTTTTTTTAAACCATCAACCTATTCCTTCTTATCCCTTTTTGTCTATCTCTTTTAGCTTTTTTTAAACCATCAACCTATTCCTTCTTATCCCTTTTTGTCTATCTCTTTTAGCTTTTTTTAAACCATCAACCTATTCCTTCTTATCCCTTTTTGTCTATCTCTTTTAGCTTTTTTTAAACCATCAACCTATTCCTTCTTATCCCTTTTTGTCTATCTCTTTTAGCTTTTTTTAAACCATCAACCTATTCTTTCTTATCCCTTTTTGTCTATCTCTTTTAGCTTTTTTTAAACCATCAACCTATTCCTTCTTATCCCTTTTTGTCTATCTCTTTTAGCTTTTTTTAAACCATCAACCTATTCCTTCTTATCCCTTTTTGTCTATCTCTTTTAGCTTTTTTTAAACCATCAACCTATTCCTTCTTATCCCTTTTTGTCTATCTCTTTTAGCTTTTTTTAAACCATCAACCTATTCTTTCTTATCCCTTTTTGTCTATCTCTTTTAGCTTTTTTTAAACCATCAACCTATTCCTTCTTATCCCTTTTTGTCTATCTCTTTTAGCTTTTTTTAAACCATCAACCTATTCCTTCTTATCCCTTTTTGTCTATCTCTTTTAGCTTTTTTTAAACCATCAACCTATTCCTTCTTATCCCTTTTTGTCTATCTCTTTTAGCTTTTTTTAAACCATCCATTCCTCTGCCGTTTTCTTATTCTCCTTTTTTTTTTAAACCATCAACCTATTCCTTCTTATCCCTTTTTGTCTATCTCTTTTAGTTTTTTTTAATCCATCAACCTATTCTTTCTTATCCCTTTTTGTCTATCTCTTTTAGCTTTAAAGAAATTCTTTTTCCCTATTCTATTTCTTTCTTGATATTTTATGACTTTCTTTACAGTCACATATTTCTACACACCAAAAGCAGACAAAGTATTTTTTCACAACCAACTATGCGGAAGCTTTATCACAACCAAATATGGCAAGCACGTTACAAAAAGAAAAGAAAGAATAATATTTTAAAAACTAAATAATACTAATACTATACTACTACTAATCAAAATAATAAATACACCATTGACTTGACTTCATAACATAAACATGTGACAATAATAGCATAATTCGATAATAAAGATCAATATAGAAATTTATATAAATATATAAGCTTTTACTCAGTGTAAAATTCATTTAATCTTTCATTATAATTCCAAAATCTTCTGTGCTAGAAAATAAAAATGTTCAGGCAAGTGTGCATTTCCAAACTAAATGTGTTACATTATGTGAAATAAAGCATACAGATGAAAAAAAAAAAATGAGATGAGAGATAGAAAGAAAAGAAACAAAATCCCAAAATATATAGGAAAAAAAGAAAAAAAGTTTGAATATTATTTGTTTAAATAAAAGAATTCACATACAGTGGAATAAAGGCACAAAAATGGTACTGCTCTTTCTCATCCCGAAAGTGTACCGCAGCAAAAGAAGAAAAGCCTAGTTGCCACCAAATCACTAAACAGAAGTAATTTATTAATTATTACAATATGATCTTATTCCTTTAATTTTGTCTGTGAAACTTTTGCAAGATCCATTCAAAATACCATTACACTTAAACTACAATAGAATATACCTAATTTCAAACCTTTCCATAACATCTATGCATAAATCTGCAAGCCAAAAGACTTTCCAAATGGTCTCCTCAGCACTCTATAGATAATGCATATTACCACTGTACTATTGACAATGCTATCAGAGTACAAATGTTTATGGAAAGCTTATAAAAATTTGTACATCACAAAGGCTAAAATGTTGCACTTTCTTACCAATACTGCAACTGAAGTTAAAGCACCATATATCACTGGCTAGATAAAAATCACATACAGTGTAACCAAGTTCCCTTGAGAACCTCCTAAAAAATATATGCACTAAAGTATCAGCAGACACTTTGAGACCACAAATGTCATATACAAAAATTGTGTAAGTACCCCATACCAGTAATCCTATACATTTCTGCATAGCCACACAACCATACACTAAGACATGGAAAACAGAAAACAGAAAATGTTGACAGAATTATAGGGCAGTTCATTGCATACATCAAAATAAAAAGTTTCTAGCACAAGAAACCTATCAACCTGTTGGTGCTGGGTAAATGCAATGTCTATTTAGTTTATTCTATCAGCACATAGATGGATTCACAAGCACTTAGTCACCAAGGTGCCAATTACTAAGCCTACCTGACTTCAACTGTTTACTTCATTCCTTAAATTTTTTGGTAAATTCTTTTAATTTTCATTACTATAACTGTTACAGCCATCATTATCATCAATATTATAATCATTAGACATTATTAACAAGAATAGTATTAATAAAAATATAAATTTTCATCCGAAAAATTTGAAGAATAGACTAAATAAGTGAGCTCAGGCAGACCCTATAATTTACTATCTAACATATGTGTAAAGAATATTAAAACCTTAAAATCTTGGCAGAAAAGCCATGTATATATGCACTCCCTGCATCAATGGATCAATACTTACAAAATCTGAGACAATGGCAATGTCATAAAAAGGGACAAATACAGCATTAACCTGTGTGAATAAGGAAAGGATGGAAGGAGAAGAGGGAGAACAAGAAAAAAAATGTCAAAGAGCTCACCATTAATGGGCAGCCACTGGGACTCAAACACACAAATATTTCCTACGCTAAATGGTGAACGAGACATGCTTTGTTGAGAAAATTTTGTTTTGGTGGCTGTTAAAATAAATCTTTCTGACTGAGTGGAGAAACGACATTCCTCAAACGAATGGCTTGATAATGTAAAACTGACAAAATACCTGGATTTCTACTGTAAAAAGAAAAGTAATAACAAACAAAAATATAAAGGAAAAGCTAGTCAATAAATATAGAACACATTAAATAAATATCTATGATTCATATATAACATTATTTACATTAATCAGTACCTTTGTAAAAACTGTCCTAAGTGTATATTGTCTTCATAAAATCTATTCAATATGTCAAATGTCTTCCCACGTTGTAATACACACATCCTAACTGAACTTAACTTGAATATATTGCAATTTTAGTATCATACATTTCAATCGCTAAACAAAATTAGCATTTTATACATATATACACAAGTCAGAATACCAATCACACAAATTAAATATATTAACTTTCAGTAAATGATTACTGATCAAGCAATATTACTAAAACATCTGATCAATATGGCTCCAAAGGGAAATGAAAATGCACAAAACAGGCAAAATGTTACAGGCTTCCAATACAAGAAATCAATGGCAATGGGATGAACACATTTTCTTGTGGTTTCTGAACAGCTCTTAAACAGGGCAAATGCAAGCAAGGAAAATCACAATATGTTGATTATATGCATATAATACTTTTGTATAATATGCATATGTATTATATGTTTTTCTGTTTTTCTCCTCATTCGTAATATGTCAGTCTATGTCATGATTACCTATTCTGGAAATAGTGGTTAATATCTTAACTCATTAGCAATGGTAAATAAACAATTAAATAAATTAGCTTGAAAAAGAAAAATACATTTCAACTGCATCTGATATCAGCTCACCTGTTCAAAAAGGAGACCAAATTTCCTATAAATCTAAAAAATTCACATACTTCTGACAAGAAATGCATAACAAATCTGCACCTTAGAATATGCAAAACAGACATGCCAACCAGCAAGAAGTCAGAGACCAGTGACGTTGCAGTAGTCTTTGTCTGAACAACACAAACATCCTACTCTTTAATCTAAAAGTTCTTGAAGTTTCTATCTCAGAGCAATTGATTACAGTGGCAAAACTTGAGCATGTTCACTGTACTACAGGCAGCAAGAATATCACAGTGGATATGAACAAACCCCAACAACTTGCAAACAAATAGTTCAGTGGACAATATGTTCCACTTGTTCCACTAAAGCTCTATGATGCTGTTACCAAAACAATCACAGGCAACTTACAAATATCAAAGGTGAAGAGGATGATTTGTAATGAAGACGAATATGACTGAAGTTCAACTGGAGATGAAGAGGAATTATATTAAAGGATGCCACCTTTTATGTTAAACAATTTCTATTGCTATTGCTGTATGTAACACCACTCCTTACTTCAAAGACTGTAAATAATAGAAAGTTTTCAAAGCAGACCTAAAGAGTACACTTTGAAACTGGACTGCAAGATCCAAACCTTTTCCAGTTGTGATGATCCATGCATGAAAACATCCTGAGTAAATCAGAATCAGCAAGATAAAAGAGTGGAACATAACTGGGACTTCTAATTCAAACCCTGAGATCTTCGACTGAAGTGTCAGTAACAAGCATCTGAAAATTTGCTCAGTCTGCTCACACATGGACTAGGGCTACTGTATTCTTCAATTCCATTCTCATATATCTATTCTATTGTTCATTCTATGGCTCTTTTCAATGGCTATGTTCAACATTATTCATCCTTGTTTTGCTGCTCTCAACAGCATCACTCATCTCTCAAAACCTCTCCCATGTTTCTGGTGAGCTGCAAGCTGCCCTGTTGACCTGAATTGGGACTGACATTAGAGTAGAGATCACAGTAGACAGGGCAGTGATTGCTCACCGTCCCACCCCATAACCAGCCTCGGGGGATAGCCAAGTGACTCATGCCTTCTCGAACAACACCCCAGTTACCTATAGAGAAAAAAAGAAAGAAAAAAATAAATACCGTAGTGGAAGAATTAATAAAAGTATCTTCACAAGATATCTATACTTCACTTCACTTGTAAAATCATAACACAAAACAACATTACACATAAAAATGACAAACCTGTGTATACACTTCTTGTGTGTGGATTTAGCCAGATGTTGTCATAACAGGAAGTTCCCTGGTTGTTCTTTGCACTGATGTTTGTAAAAGTGTCAGCTGGCACAATGTTAGTGTAGGATGTTTCTCGCAAGACATCAAAAGCTGTTGCAATGGAAAGGAAACTTTTCTAACACATTGACATTATTTCAAAATGCTAGTATTCTAAGGACTGAAAACATTATAAGCAAATTCATAAAACAGTATTGATTTTGAGAAAACTAACACTCTTGAGAAATAACAGAAGCTCATTCATAAAATACAATACAAGCTAGTACAAGCTCATTGATAAATCTCATTACTGAATACTGTCACTTTTTGATCGTCTTGGTATTATTATTGGCTGTACACTGAAGTACCAACGTGAAATGAGGAAATAAAAATGTCTACTAAAAACTGAAAATAAATTTTAAAAATGAGGATGAGGATGAGAGAATGAAAGAGGGAGGTGGGGGATATCAATGGGAAGGAAGAAAAAGAAGAAGAAGAAGAAGAAGAAGGAGAAAGAGGAAGAAGAGGAGGAGGAGGAAGAGGAGGAACAAAAAGAGGAGGCAGGAAGGAGGAAGGAGGAAAGTAGGGGAAGGAGGAAAAATAGGGGAAGGAGGAGGAGGAGGAGGAAGAGGAAGATGAGGAGGAAGAAGAGGAAGGGGAAAAGGGGGTATACAGGAGAGGAGAGGAAGAGGGAGAAGAGGATGAGGATGAGGATAAGGAGGAGGAGAAGAGAAAAAAGAATAAGAATAACAAAAAATATCAATAACAAGAAGCTGAAGAAGATCAAGAGCAAGAATGGAAGAGGGGAGAGGAAAAAAAAAAAAAGAAAAAAAAAAAAAAAGAGAAAGAAAGACTGAAATAAAAAAAGGAACAAAAAGAAAGAAAGAAAGAAAGAAAGAAAGAAAGAAAGAAAGAAAAGAAAAAATCCCATTCTTCCGACTCGGGAAACACACGAAATAAATCACAAAACGCACCTTAACCTAAGCACGTGCCGCAACCCCTCCCACTCACCCTTATTATCCGGAGGCATGCTGAAATCCCCGAGGAGGACGATGTCTCGCTCATTGACCAGCTTCTCCTTGAGTACCGTGACGAGGGGACCCAGCTGAGAGTTTTCCTTGTCCGTTTTCTCATTGAGGAGTGGACTCTCACTACTGTCTTTGCTATCTCTGTTGTCGTTGTCCTCCACCTCGACCAAGGTGTCATTTAATTCATTTTTCAGCCCATTGAAGTTGACAGCCTTGATGTGGAGGCTTACCACCACAAACTCTAGGTTGTTTGCCTGCAGGATGGGAAAGTCATCAAATTGTAGGCTATAACTGGACTTAACCTTCTACATATTTTCTTACTCATTATATATATTATATATTTGATCTATCTATCTATCTATACACATATATATACATTTATATATATGAACTGTATTCATTGCAACAAATGTAAAGAGGGTATGAATGAGAATTTATCTCTTCACAATACAAGACATGTGTTTAACCAGCTTCATATATATCTCTATCAGATATACATGTATTTCTGACATAGATATATTCAAAACCAGTTAAATACATCATGTAAAGATATTCAGTCTCACTCATACCTTTTCTACACACACACACACAAATGCACGCAATTTATTTATATATATATATATATATATATATATATATATATATATATATATATATATATATATATATATATATATTTACATATACACATACATACACACATAAACACCTATGTCTCTCTTTTGTATTATTTTTATCTTCTTTTCTCCTTTTCTTACATACTGTATTACAAAATTTGAATATCAGATAAAAAATATTTACATCTGTTAACTTTGATTTCACAAAAGTCATTATATGATCCAAGTACATTTTTTTCCTTGTCATGACATCTACCAATAAACACAACATACACATACACAACACAAAAGTATCATGAAATAAAAACAAGCATGTACATACAGCCCTGGATTTGAATCTTGTGTGAGATAAGTTCCTTTCTCTCCACACTGAACTGGAAATCTATTTTGATGTAGACTTGGTTATTCTTAGCCTTATTCCTTAGCTGGGTTCTCAGTGGTACAAGTGAGAAGTTTATGCCATAAATTCCTATGCTAGAACTGACAGTTCAATTGTTGCTAGTTGCCTAGCAGTATATGAGATGCCTAGCCACTGGTACACCAAGCCTTTGCCCTGAGGAAGCAGCTACTCCAAGTTGCCTGTTGATTCATGTGAGAGGCTTTAGATACAAGTGAGCTGCATAGCTCTGCAAAACATGGCATGTGAGATGTCTAAGCCACCAAGAACATGTGCTGCATCCTGCAGTTATGTTGTGCTCACTGGTGCTTTTTACCACAAACACCAGTCACCAGTCCTAGTGCTGTTTGGTGTATGCAGGAAGC